GCATTCAAAACTCTTTTACTTTTTCATGCATATAATGTTTTTTTAGCAGTTAAAAGTAGTGATATTTTAATAAACTTATATTTTGTTATATTTAAATGTGTTTTAAAAAATTTAGATTGACAATGAGTTAATGATCTTGATCGAACTAAACTATTGACAACCTAAGGATGTAAGGGGTAATTTATTACCAAGAGTTGGTGAATAGTATTGTCGGTCTTATCCCCTCTCCGAAGGTCATCAGGGGTAGGAGATACTATTCTTATGTCCAACTTTAAACACACATAAGCAATTTTATCATCACCCTTACCATCTAAACCTCAGACTTACACCAGTCTGATGATCCTTATGTGGTTATACAAAATATTCTCAATTTCTCAAAATGGTCTAGACACTTCATCCAAGGCTCATACCCTTGAGCGTTGGGTTATTGAATGTAGGATAAGTAGAGTCGGGGTATTTTCTATTGGTTTGTGAATTATCGGGTCCCGAGTCATAACTTAATAAGTCCTTAGGAATTTTATGTTGATTTAGTTGTTGTTGTATTAATAAGACAAATTCCTTCAACAAAACATAACAGACTCAGAGGTCATTTAAAATAGCCAAAATCTCCCAAGAATATCCAAAGGATAATTCCAAACAAACTTGGGATCACTTGAATTATTTTAAGTTCATTATGGTCTAACTAGATTGTTGAATTGATCATCCTAGGAAGGATTATGCTGTCTTTAAGTTGTGTTCAATATATATCTTAATAAACCAATGAGTAGGCTAAGGGTTACTTGTCATATTATGTTTAGGGTTTGGATGGAGGGTCACCCCAGGGTGAGCCCAATCATTTAATTGAATTGGTAGTGATTAAGATAAGTTATGTTCTTTCTTTTCTAATTCCTTTGGATAGTTTTAGATTGTTCCTAGCTCACTACCAAGCTCTTTGATCTTTAATAGGTAGATTTGTAACTTTAAAAAGTTAAGTGAAATGCATTTGATTCTTATTGAACGATTGAATTATGCCTAACCAATAATTTGTGGCTTTAAATTAGTTAATTATTGTCTTCTTATCTCATGCCCCTCACATTAGAATCATCCAATGTAATCATCTTCGAATTTATAATAATTTGATTAATTGCAATTTTACCCTTTTATAGAGAATAGTGTGAATTGGTTTCTACTTTTTAACCCTTTATATTTCAATCTTCTTTGAGAATCAATTATGATCAATATTACCCTTTTACTCTTTATTTTGACCTAAAATTTTAACTAGGGGTCAATATTCCATAATTACCATTTTATCCCTAGGGTCTTTATTTTATAATTCCTTTAATTTAATTCAAATGACTTTGAAAATTTGATGGTTTACTACTCATGGGTTAATTGAAATAACCGAGATGACTTTGTATTTTTTTACTGATTTTTATTTTATTTTTTATAATTATTTTAGT